ATAAATATATTTCTGAAAGGTCTCTAATAGAATACTATTAGCTTTACTTGAGAAATTAATCTTTTGAAAACCATTTTGTAACTTAAACTAATAGATCCAACTATTAGTATATTTTAATTTATTCTTAATATTAAACATTTTAGCAAATTCAATTTCTTTAAGTTGTAATATTGAATCTGATAATGGAAGACCTACTGCTATTATTTATACAGTTCAGATTTGTATGGCTTTATCAAATTCAGGAAATTGAACAAAATGGTTGCAAAAAATATATAAAGTTTATGAAATAGATAAGACTGCTAGCCATTTTTCACGATTTTTTTATATTTTACTAACAGTTGTTCTATCAATATTTAACTCTTCATACTTTTCATTAAAAAATAATGCAATATTACCTTAGGTTACATTAAAATTTACTTTTATATATTTGCAAATTTCTTTTTTTATATCAATATTATAACAATTCATGTTCTTTTATTTTTTCTGATGAATAAGCAGCATATTTTAATAAGTATAAATAACTAATTAAATGCATGTATTGCGTATACTATGTGTTTGATATAATGTTTATAAATTATCAAATTGCACAATGATACTAAATCATATGATTTATTGTGATTATATAAGAGAATGTCATTTGATGTGATTATATAGAAGGCAATTTTCCTATATTTATTATAAGATTAAAACTAAAACTTATGTGATTATATTATATATAATATTGTGATTATAAAAGGATATTTTTTTATTTAAAAATCAGGACTAAAAAATAGTATGATTAAAAAAGAGGTATGATTATATGAAAGGTGATTATAAAGGGAATTGACTGTATTCATTTTATTTGTTGATAAACGTTCTTGTATAAATAAAACCTTTAAAGTTATGAATTTTAGCAGAATAAAGGATTAATTCCCTTTATTAGTATATTATTTAATTATCATATACCAATGTAGTGTTTTTAATTATTATTAAAGTATTTTTAAGAATTTTGAAAATTAAGTTAGTAAAGTACTTATACTTTCTGACTTAAAAACTTGAATTGTGAAAGAATACTATAATAAAATTTGAGGAAGAGCATGTGATACCCTTCCTCAAACTTCAATTTAAGAATTTAAGTAAGGATTCTCCTAGACGAATTTGAGTTTTAAGCTAATCTTAGCTATTGCTCAATCTGTTAAATATTTCAGTCCACATAATCGACAGTTGAATAATACTATATTGTAATTTCACAATAATCACTATTTATCATTTATATTGTTCAATAGTTTAATAATAATTAATACATTATTTTAAAAACAATTTATTTTGTGATAGCCTTAATTATAAATAAAAGTTTCAATAAAATATATTGTAAAAAAGGAGCAGAATAATCTTATTTTAATTGTCAAATTACTATTTGACTACTATTAATATATAAGAAGAAGCTATCAATCTGTATTAATAACTAAAAATGCATCCATAAAATCAAAACTCCTATTGAGACAATCTCTTATTGTAAATCAAAGCTTATCAAAATTAAAATTGGTTTTCTAATTATTTATAAGTATGAAGAATTGGCTAAAAATGCAGTTTTGTCTTTTTCTTTTATAATCACATTCCTTTATTTAACCTTCTAAAAGAAGTAATCATTTAAGTACAACTCATTAAAATTATAAGTCTTTGAGAATATTTCGATTTTGAATCATTTAAAATATAAAATTCTCAAGTCAAAATTTGAAATAGTTTGATAAGCATACTTGATTCCAAAAAGTATTACAACTATGATTCAATTCAAGTCATCTATCAAGCCATAGATTTCAAATTCCGCGATGAGAATTTTTTGAGACATCTTCCGCCTGTCATAAAATGGAATGAATTTTGATATTTTACATATAAATTCTTCCTTGCATATTAATATCCTAAAATATTTCGCTTATTTATCAATACCTTTTCATCTTCAACATCACCAAATATTTTTAGAGCCAATTTTTTGTATAAAATCAGGGTTGTCAGGTAGACTATTTCTTAATTTAAAATATATCATGTCATAAATATCTTTCATCTAAGTCTTATGAGAGCTATAGTCATAAGTAATAGGATCCTGTTGAAACGAACAAGTTATGATCAATTGATAATCTTACACCTTCCGATGTAAAATATGGTGGTTGTAGTTGTGTTGTTGGCGGTTGCGATGGTAATGATGGTGATGGTAGAGATAGTGAAGGTGGGGGTAATATTGATGTTACTGCAGCTTCCGCTATTGTTGTAAACTCCTTTTTAAATTATTTACTTTGCGAATAGGCTCCTTATTTTTAAACTATTTGTTGTATTTCTCTTTTTCCTTACACGTATTAGCGGCTGGAGGTGCATCCGCAAAGTCGAAACTCATATTGAGTATTGGCGACTCAACCTCTTGTTGTAGGTCAAAACTTTTACTTTAAAATAAGTAACCAACAGATTTCGTTCGTTTTGAACTCTTTTTTTTCTAAAAAAAAAATAATAATAATTATAAATTAATGAAATATTATGACTATATTTTTTTAACAATAAAATAAAAATTATATTATTGAAAAAATTTACCTATAACAGGAATCAAAATAGTGTGGAATTAGTTTACAGGGAAGGGAGGTCCGACGATGATGGTTATAATATGGATGAAGTAGTTGGTGCATGAGGTAGTATCTGGGAATATATTTGAAGTGTTTCTTTCTATTGACGAATTGTTTGTTATAATTTTGCGTCCGAAAGGAAATGGTTGTGAGCGGATAATGTCATTAAAATTGAGACTGCTATAAAGTTTTAAAAAATTAGTATATATATAAAATAAAAAATAAATATAATTGAAAAAAAAAATTATTTTTAACTTACTTTTCATTGCGGACACACGTTGAGATTCTTGACCTTGTACTTGCTCAATTGACATTTTGTGTCCTATTACTATAAATTTTAGATTTATTATTTTTTGTTAAACATAACCACCTTAGTAATTGTAACAGTAACATAATCGAATGGATTAAATATCAACTTGGGTATTTATAAGATTTTATTTGTGTTAAAAGGTGTTATTAAATGTTTAAAACTTTTATTGCTTTCAAATTCATAATTACCTTTTGATAGAATTTCTTTTAAGAAATTGTCCAAAAGCGTCCTCGTTTTCATAAAAAAATTGTGAAACGTGTATCGTTAAACAAATTTCTAAGCCACTCAATCTCCTAATTCAGAATTCAGAAATCGCGTACAAATGAACTTTCGCGAAAATCAAATGTTATCGATGCGCTTATATTTGTATTTGGTTATCGAGCAAATAAAATGAGGCAAGCCAAATTATCAGAACTTATTCATTCATCACAGTGATGTGAAAATCTGGATGCTTGCAGTGTTTAAGAATTTCTTGACTTGGTACTAATAAAGTTTTTAATTTCCAAAAAAAAAAGAAAAAGTGAAAAAAAAATTAATAATACATGTTGTTCAATAATATTATAGCCTGGTTCGGATAATTATGAGATTCTATCACTATCCCAATTGGTTATTTCGCGTCAAGCTTTTCGCAATAATGCAAGCATTCATAAATGGGAGACAAAGCAATTACACTAAAGTTATAAGTCTTTTGAAAGAAAGCGGGATCGATTTGGATCATAAACGATTTCTAATTTTGCAGGTTCCTTTTTTATTTATTTATTTATTTATTTTTATGTTTTCATGATTAATGTATTGACATCATCAAAATTTTATGCTTAAATTAATGATTAAGGAGAAGTTG